GTCGGAGTCGAGTAACCCGCCCTGCAAATCTTTCAGCCGGCCCCGCTTTGGTGCAAACCCCTTCTTCAATTTACGAACGCGGCCCCAGTCCCCGGCGACGAGCAGGTGCTCTAACCACTTTGCTCGGTCCCTTTTGACAGACACCTTCACATGCTTATTCAGCCTGCTCTCGGTAGCCACGTCCACGCGGCGCCTGGCGTCTGCGCGCTTCGCGATAATGTCCATGGCGCGGTCGGAGGCCCGAGGCCTCCGCGGCGCCGCCGGCAGGGTAGGGGCCAAGGCGGCGGTTGCAGAGAGTGAGTCCGTCATGATGGTTTCGATGTCAGATGCCGTCGACCCCAGCGCGCTGCTCTGTAACTCCTCTGCGCGGTCGGCACTTGCAGCGGCGAACCGATCCGCCGCCCCGGGAAGGCGAGGGGCGCGCGGGCCGCGCCAGGGGGCCAGCTGCGGCCGCGACTCTTCGGGGACAACGACGTTGATGTCAGCGCGAACCAGAAAATGGTGCGACGCCAACGCGCGCCGCCGATCACTTCTCGGAATTGTAAGGCTGTGCGGCCAGTCCCGCGAGATCAACAGAAGGTCGATCTGTCCGAAATTCTCTGGCGTGGGGATGTCAGACGGCATCTTTCCAACGTTTTAGCATGCGATCTGCTGGTCAGCTGGGTGGTCGACATGCGTCTTTCCCATGTGCAATCTGAGTCGGGTGCATAGCTCTGCCAGCAGGCTCCGATTGGGAGACGGATTGTACTCAGCCGTGCAATAGCCGATCACACGGGGACCCATGATGGCCTCCTCCCGCGGGAAACGACGGTGAAGCCGAGCATTGACATCACCCTGAACCAGATGCGGACCAGTGGGGGGCACATCAGATAGGAAAGCACTCAGGTCGTTGTAGAAAGCCCGCCGGTCTTCAAAGGCTTCGCCGCTGTACGGGGCGCATGCGCTGCGCATCGCCATCTTGCAGCCAACGACTCTCAGCTTCAAGTAAGCCATGCGCGCCGTCTCCTGTCTGAAGCCAACCGCGCTTTGGCGAAGGCGAGGAGCGACAATGAAACCAACCCCGGCCGCATCCTCCTGGCCGGCGCCAGTGCCGGAGAAGATGGCGAGGGAGCCGCCGTCCGAAACATGACAATTGCAACCTGCTTTGCGCGTCTCCTGGATGCACGAAATGTCGATGTCGAGGTGAATCATGCGCCACTCCAGCTCTAGCTGCTTCGCGTCCGCGTAGCCCTCCACGCCCCAGGGCGCCACCCGGAGCAGCCGAGAACAAGGACGAAAGGGGCCCACGCTGCTGGCATGTATGGGAGCAGGGTAAAGAGAAGTAGCAGCATTGCCGGCTGCTGTGAGCGAGTGCTTGCAAGGGCGAATTATCATCAGCTCGTGGTTCATATTGATAGGAAGGCCGACTGCCGGAGAAACTGGCGAAACATTGCTCATGTGCCGTGTTTCCTAATGGGGGCCGCGCACCTTTACTCCCCCCTGTGCGCTCCCTTTAAGACCTCAGGCGCGTGCGAAAGCGTTGGTGGTTGCTTGGTCTAAACATTCTGCTTGAGCTCGTCAGGGAGTCCACGAGAGTGACGCCAACCTGTTTCTCCAGATTAGGGTCTTTGAGTACACGTCGCAAAACCTTCCAGGAAGCCGCGCACATCTGATTGCGGTGGGCGGCCAGCTCAGGCCCCAGAGCCCCGGAGTCGTCCAGAACGGTTCCCTTTTTGGTGTACTCGAGATTGCGAAAAAGCGATATGGTACCAAGGAGTCTGGTGTGAATTGAGACATCCACTCCTGCCTTGCGCAAACAAGTAGACGTGGCATTATCTGATCCGACTCTTCTGAATTGAGAAAGAAGGGCATTGTTGCTTTTGGTCGTGTGCAGTCGCATCCTGCGTGCTGCGAACGTATTAAATATTCTGGCCACAGTGGCGTCTTGTGAACGTTGAGAAAGGGGGGGGGGTCGAACTGGGGGGGGGACCGTGAATTGCAAGGATGGGGGGGGAGTTCGAACCGTCCCCCCACCCCTCAAGGAAAAGGGAGGGTGCGGTCGAATCGGGAGGGCCCCCTTTCCTGAATTGCAGGGGGGGGCTCTCGCTGAAGGGCGTTGGTTGTTCGAACCGGTCCCCGCCCTCCCCCATTTCTTACAGAGAATTGCAAGGGGGGGACTCCCCCCGTCGCCAATCGCAAACGACGACGACGAAGGTGACAACGCCGACGACGACGACGACAACGACGACAACGACGACGACGACGACGATGATGACCACGGCGACGACGACGCAGACGAAGACGACGGCGGCGGCGATGACGACGACGACGACGACGACGACGGCGGCGACGACCGCGATGACGTTTGATCCGATATCTTCCAGCGTTGACTCCAAATAAATAGGAGGACCGGAGGAGGACGAGAGGAGGATGGGAGGAGGACAAAAGGAGGACGGACGGGAGGAAAACAGGAGTAGCAAAATCAAGCAAGCGCAAGCAAGCAAGCGGAAGCAAGCAAACGCAAGCGAGCAACAACGAGCAAGCAAGAGCCAGCGATCAAGTGCAAGCAAGCAAGGGCAAGCAAGAGCGAGCAAACGAGAGCAAGCAAGCGAGAGCAAGCACGCATAGGAGTTAGGGGGAAGGCATCGGCATAGGCATAGCCAGAGGAATTGTGGGGGCATCGGAACAGGGCGGGGCAGCAGACCAATTAGTAGGGTTTGAGCTGGGACTCCCATGGGGCAAGCCTATTTGGAGAACCATAGGAGGAATCGATCATAACTGGGTTGAGCTTTCGTAGGGTTCCATAAGCTCAGGCTCCAGTTATAGTGGGATGCCATTAGGAAAGGATTGAGCCCGACTGGGTTGCTATTTATGTTGGGCCTAACTAAACTAGGATTCTAGTTAAGCTGGATCGAGCCTGTGTAGGGTTTAACTATAGCTTGGTCCAGCTGTAGTACGATTCTAATAGAGTTGGACCGAGCTCTACGAGGATGTACTCATGTTGGATCCAGCTATAGTGAAGTCCAAATAGGGCTGGATCGAGCCCCAGCAGGACCCGATTACAGCTGGATCCAGCTATCGTAGGACTTGTTCAGAATTGGATCGAGTCCGAATAAGATACTCTTGAAATTAGATTCAGCTATCGCCGGATTTCATTACAGATGATTTAGCCGTAGTAGGAGTCGATTTTGTTCGAGCCCCCCCCCCTCCACAGGGGGGGGGGGGGGAAGGGGGGGAGGAGTGCGGTTCATACCCCCTCCCACAATCCTCCCCCGGGCTCCCACGTGTCCAAGTATTTCTCCAAGGCATGCGTCCGCGAAACGCGTGCTACCGCGTTCTCTCGAACAGATCTCTGTGCTTTACCTAGGAACATAAACATTCCATCATCGAAGAGCGATGAGTCCATGTTGTGCCCGATGTATGTGCTCTCCTCGCTGGAGTCTGTCCCGATGGAGCCGTGTTTTGCAATTGGTAATCGTAGTTCGATGTTATACTCCAGGACCTTGGCCTGAACGAGGTCCGTGATGGCCCCCATGACACAGTGAGCCACCACGTCGCCTAGCTGCTGGCCTGGCCGGGACCGCAGTTGTGGGAAAGCGAAAGCATGATCCCCCCCCCGCCGTAGGGGAGACCAGCTCAGATCATATGCGTCCGAGACTTGGGCTTGGATCCAATGTGTGATCAGTGGGGCGTCGTTACATATGATCCAGGGTTGCACCCCGGCAACCCCCCTCCAACAAATGCATGTAGGATCGAGACCCCCCTCTGGATGGGTACGCCCGTGAGCCTCCTCGCGAAGGCTTCGCGAAAGGGATTGCCGCCCACCCCCGGCCTGTCGTCGTGGCCCTGTGAACGTGGCGTGGTGGCAGGTACCGGTGCTCCGCCACCCCCTCCTGTGGGTGTGGGGTGGTTCGTCGTCGTCGTTGTCGTCGGCGTCGTCGTCGTCGGCGTCGGTGTCATCGTCGTCGTCGTCTTCAGCGTCAACTTCGTCTTCCGTCGGCATCGGTTTCGTCGTCGGCGTCGGCGACGGCGTCGGCGTGGGCGGGCGTCTGCGTGGTCGTCGTTGTCGTCGTCGTCGTCGTCTTCGTCGTCGTCGTAGTCGTCGTCGTCGGAACGTCGGCGTCGGCGTGGGCGTGTCGGCATCGGCGTCGGCGTCGGCGTCGGCGTCGGCGTTGGCGTCGGTCGGCGACGGTGTCGGCGTCGGCGTCGGCGTCGGCATCGGCGTCGGCGTCGGCGTCGGCATCGGTGTCGGCGTCGGCGTCGGCGTCGGCGTCGGCGTCGGCATCGTCGTCGGCGACGTCGGCATCGACGTCGTCGTATCCCATGTGGGATGGGGTGGGGGGGGGCGCCATGGAACCCTGGGACCCATTCCATCTTGGGGGGGGGCTGTGAACCCACGACCAGGGGTCGTGTATGTGTAAATGCTGGTGAATGTATTCAGCGAGTTCAGCGCGGGCTTCTGGGGGGAGACCTGCTTGCGCAGGAGCGCTCCACTTTTAAAAGCGTGGGCAGGTCCCAGGTAACGAAGAGTAAGACAAGAGTAGAAGGAACATCGAAGAGTAAGTCAGCAGGCAATATCGGAAGCCGATTTCTCGTGCATACCCGACTCCACCTACCGCTTCGATGGTAGCAACGTGCAGCGTCCGTGTCGCCATGGTCTCGTGCTCCGACTGGACAGGTTGCTCATCAAGTCCGCGTAGCATGTGGAGAGGTGGAGCTTGGCCGATCTCCTAGGACATATTCACACAACTCGAAGTCTATGGTACGCGCACGTGTTGTGTTCTTTGAGGGACCACGCGCTAGCTTTATACTTCGCTATGTGCGCGTAGTGGACCCTAGCATCCGACGTAAACAGAGGGTTAACATACTTAATGCGTCCGGTGAGGCACACAGTGCGCCAAGCGTGCGTGAATGAAGCCATACGTCACATCTTCGTGATGGCCTCGGCGAGCCTCCATGTCTAGGGGGCCCAGTAAGCGGAGGAAGCACTGCAGGGGCCTGGAGGAGGAGGGAGGAGGGAGGTGAGGAGGAGACAGGAAGGGGCCCGGGGCAGCTAGCACCAGCGCGCAGACTGTAGTTCTGCGCACCCGCGCGCGCGCCAGCACCAGGGGGTGCTGAGCGGGCGCGCTATCGCCAGGGGTGGCCGCGCGCGCCTGCACGGCCACGTCCTCCCTCTCCACTTCCTTTCTCCTCTTCCTCCTCTCTCCTCTTCTCTCCTCCTCCTCCTCCTCCTCCCCCTCCTCCTCCGTAGCCATTGTGGCTCAAACCGCTCTGTCTGTTTCCCCCAACATCTTGGCTCAAGCAAGCTGAGCTCCTGGTGGTTTGAAGTTATTCCTTCGTTGTGTCTGCAGGTGCCATTTCTGTTTCGCTGGTCGGCTACGTGTCCAGCTTCGGCACTCGTCTGTGTATCATGTCGTCTAAGTACAACAACCTTGCAGCACGCATTCGTATCCTCGAGAAGGACGCTTTTGGACAGCCTGGCCCGTCACTCCAGCAGCGGTCGTTGCGTCGGCACACCAGGCTCTGTGAGCTGCTGCAGTATACCGTTAATTTCCCGACGCAGGCTTTATCTCAAGAGCGGCCGATGATCACTAAAACATGTGATGCTCGGGATCGGGTGCTCTTTCGTGCCGCCGCCCTGGAGCGGCATGAGGTCTTTGCGCAAGAGGATGCTGGTGGTTCGCCGTGTGAGCACGCGCCGAAGATCGTGACAGTGGTTGCCCCTAGGTGGCGTTCACGGCTTCCCTCGTCTTCCAAGCTGCGCCCGGGCGCCCCTGTGTTTCCGCTTCCCGCACATTTTCCCGTTGGTGAGGGTGCCATCGCCGCATACCGTTCGGAGCCCTTGGGGCATACCAGGATTGGGAGTGGCTCAGAAATGGCGGGGCTTACGCCCCCTTTCAGTTTTCACGAGTCTGAGTTTGACCGTTGTGACTTTGAAGCTGTTAGATATTTTGCTCTGCCACCGTAATGTTGTTGCATATTCTGACTTGTGGTCTGCTTTTCAAAACCTTCAGGACACGGTTTGCCAGGCCCACGGGTTGGCGTTCTCTGTTGTTGTTCAGGTTGCCTCTTCTTCAGAATATGTCCACGGTACCGAGGGTAAGAATGAGAAGCAGCTCTCGTCCATCGCGGAGCTCGTGGAAATGGAGATGGCGGTTCTCTCTGCGCTCCCTGGTGTCTCGTTTGTTGATCGATTATCTCCCCTGTTGTCTCTGACGTGAAGGATATCAAAGAGCGCCACTAGTTGCTTGAGCAAGCGGTCTTTGACCACCATCAGGATACTCAGCTTACAGTCGTTTCCCTGCAGCAAGCGCAGTCCGAGTTCGCTGCCCACCTTGTTTCGACGATTCCGCATGCTGGCTTCGTCAATTAGAATATAGATTCTATGCGTGGCCTCTTGCGGGTGCATAGTGATAAGCTGCACGGTGAGTTGCAATCAGCGCTCGTTAAAGGTCAGCGGTACTTGCACGTTTCTGCTTAAAACGACTTACGTTTTTGATTGGTCTCTGGGATGACAGCCAGAAGCTTGTGGATTTGCATTGGGCGAAGGTGGACGACTTTATAATCACCGCGCGCGAGCAGATTCTGATGGAAGCATTCGCCATGTTTCAACTATGTGACTGCCGACGCGGCTGCGCTGCGGGACTCTGCGGCGCTTGCCCAGAAATATCGGACTGCTGTCGTCGGCGCGAGTTCACTGTAAGATAAAGTTGCGATCCACGAAGAGGCTCGTCAGCAGATGGCGGCTATAATTAGTACAATTGATTCTCAGAATGGGAAGGTGATTTCGGATGTTGTCGGCTCGGCCTTCAAGCACATGATGGAGGCCGACATCCTTGGCACGGCCGTGCGTGCTGAGGTGGATCCTGTTTCGGCTCGCGGTGCTCCCTTTCGTGCTGATGGAGCGGTGAGCGTTCTTCGGACGACGGCTGCGTTCTTTGTCTTCTGATGTCTCGTCCAACGGGGGCCCGCTGGAGAGTTTTGACGACATGTGTGGCGTATGCGGTGGACGGAAGCCTCACGTTCGTTCAAGGTTGACATGCTCCTGCTTGCTCCACGAAGAAACGAACTGGACGCTGTGATATTCTACCGCCTGCTGCCCCGGTCGGACTTTGTGCTGCCCTCCGCCTACTGGGCCGTGGTCTGCTCCGCCCGCATCCCAGCTAAAGTCGTTTGGCTTCCGCCTCCACACAGTTCCCTCCGTGAGGGCGCGTGGTCCTCTGTAGATTTCCGTCAGAGGTGACAGGACTTCTTCGGCACGCTCGTCTCCTCCTCACCCTCCTCCTCCTCCACCCTTTCCTCGTTCCTCCTCCTCCGTCATCCCCTTCACCTCCCGCCTCCTCGTCGTCCCCCTCCTCCCCCCGTCCCTCCTCATCCTCGTTCCCTCCGTCCTCCTCGCTCCTCCGAGGCAGGCGGGCGCAGGCACCCAAGGGTGCGGCTCGAGAATGTTTTCAGACCAGCGCGGTGCCGGAGGGATGCGCGCGGCGTTGACATGATCATCCAGTCGTGGATCAGTTGTTGCATCACCCTCCACCGCGCGTGCGGCCCTCTTTCTCCCGAACCTCATCCCGCTCCCATGTTTCCCCGTCCCCCCCATCCTTGTCATGATGCTCCCTCTGTTTATGATCCCCCCATCGCATTTCTCTTGTATGTCTTCTAACTCCTGCTGCAGCTGTTGCACCTCCACCTGCTCCTGCATGTCATCCTGCTCCTGCTCCTGCTCCCCCCTGCTCCTGAGATTCCCGTGTCCTGCTGCTGCTGTTGTTTCTTCTGGCACCACCTCCTGCTTGTGCTGTTGCTCCTCCTGCATCCATCTAAAGCGTCACGTCCTCATCATCCCCCTTTCCCGCGCGCGCACTCGCGGTGCATTGATTGCCGACCCGCGATGGTGGATCCAGGGCTTCGTGGCATGTCGTAATAACCAGGCGTGTTGGATACCATTGGACAGTCATGCCATGGTCCGAATGCTCCCCTTGCTTCCAATGCAGCGATCATGTACGCGCACAGCTATAACTCGTGCCTTGTATACACCAGCGCGTGGACCCAAAGCAATTGATTCGTGTAGTGCGTGGTATCCTGTGTACGCGTGTGGTGGGGGAGGATGTCAGCTTATGTTCACCCTGTGTGAGTGTGTGTGTCAGCGTGTTGACCCAAGTCACAAAAGCCGATGCGTATTGAATTGAATTTTCTGTGTGGGGTCCAAGGCGCGTGTGTTTGTGAAGTTTTGTGTGCGAGGGCACCCTATGTGAGGCCTAGGTGTGCGGAGCCTGAGACTTGTGCACAGGCCACCTTTCAGAGCCCAAGCTGCCACCAGTAAGTGCGCCAGCCACTCGTAGGCAGCCCAAGCAACCTAAGCGGCCTCTGGGTCGTTCTCCAGCCATCCTGAGGAACCGACAAGAAGTAAAATCGGCCTCCAGGACGTGCGTCGACCACCTGTAGGAACCCGCTGCGTGCGCCAGCCACCCGCAGAAACCCATCCAGTGAACATCTCAGGAGCTCAAGTGTTTCCTGGAAAGTGTGCCTGCAAGAGGCAACCCTTCAGAACACAAGCAAGAGCATCCCAGTGCAAGCATTATATAGGAAATGGTGATGCCAGCGTGCGGAATCCAAATAACTGATTCGTTTGAGAAATGTGCGTGTGGAACTATATGGAGTAAGCCCTACTTCTTCAGTGTGTGGAACCCCTGTGCGTGAAACCTTGTGTGGAACTGATATGGAGTCCGATGTGTGTTGACCCCATGCGTCCACCCGAGGGCGTGCCACCCGTAGGAACCCAGTTGACCACTGCAGAGCGCGCCACCCATAGAAACTCATAGAAAGCGTATAGAAAACCCTAGGAGACCAAGCGGCCACTGGAGAGCGCGACACCCGTGCGAACGTATGGGGAAGCAATTGGCCACCGGATAGTGCGGCGCCCATCCAGAGGAACCCATAGATACCCAAACGGCCACTCGACCGTGCGCCACCTATTGGAACCCAAGCGGACACTGAAGAGTGCGCCGCTGATATAAAGCAATAGGTGCCCTAGCGGCCACTGGAAAGCGCGCTATCCAAATGCAACCATAGGAACCCAAGCGGCAACCAGAGACCGTGTCACCCATCCATGGGAATCTACAAGAACCCAGGCGGCCACTCGAGGGCGCACTTCCCACAGGAACCCGTAGAAACCCAGGCGGCCGCTCGAAACCGCGCCAGGCACCCATGCCGATCCCCTTTAGGAGCACCAGCTGCCACCAGAACGTGCGCCAGCCGCCCGATGTCGTAGGAGCCCACGAGCACCCAAGCGGCCACCGGAGAGTGCGCCGGCGCCGGCGACGCACAGGAGGCGAGCCGCGGAGGCCATCTGCGAGGCCGCAGGCGGAGCCGCAGCCGCAGCTCGAGGGCCTATGGAACTGGCCTGCGTCGGGCGAGATTCGTTTTTTCCAATGCGAATTCAAGGCCGATCGCTGTCTGTGCCCTGCCTGCCGGAATTACTTGGCAGGCGCACCGCTGAGATGATCAAGGGTGCGGGCCTCGGGGCCTGTTAGCGCCCAGCGCCCAGGCGGCACCACTAACGAACTTCCCCATGTGTCCTCAAGGGTGCGTGCGACACTCATTCAGCCAATGCCGACTGGAAAGGAGGGGGGCAGGAGGAGGAGGAAGAGGCGGCGGAGGAGAGAGGATGTGGCAGACGACGAGCTGTTGCGGGAAAGGCTCCCCTATTGTCCCTCCCCCCTCCTTCCCCCTCCCTCCTCCTTCCTCATTTTGTTGGCTAGACTCTGAGCGGCTGAGCTCGAAGCGTCAACGGAGGCCTTTCCGATCAAGTATGAAGAACGATCAGAGCGCAACTCGCGATCGATTCATCATCATTCATCATTCCTCTTTCTCCTTCTACCTTTGCTCGCCACTGCTCCTCATCTTCTTCGGTTCTCCACCTCTTCCTCCTCCTCCTCCTCCTCCTCCTCCTCCTCCTCGGTCCTCCACCCTTTCCTTGCCGCCGGTTGGCTGCGATGAAGCGTCGCCTTGGTGATCTCGGTGCCGAATCGTTGTCGTGATCATCGGATGTTGCTTCTTTTCATTCCTCTCCCTCCTCCTCCCCCTCCTCATCCTCCCTTCCCCTCCCTCTCCTCCCTCCTTCTGCTGCTTGCGCGACGCCTTTCCCGGCCTCCCCAGAGGTCCGACCCCTTTCCCCAGGAGCAGTTCTTCGTCCTGGGCCCGTTGTTGATGGGGCAGGATAAGGGGGCCTTGGAGACCGCAACCTATGAAAAGCGCGTGGATCGAACAAAAAAACAGAGTTGGAGATCTGGATCGTCGTCGCCACATTCGTCACCCGCAGCCGTTTTGGCTCAAGCCGTTTCGGTCCGTGTCGCCCACGGCCTCCGGACGTCGCCACCGTCCGTGAGAATGCGGGCCTCCCCAGGCGGCCAGGCAGTGCTGCGGCGCCTGCTGGGCAGTTACACCGCCGGCCCCCAGAGGACTTCAGAGCCCTCCTGGTCGCATTCCTCTTCATTACCTCGTCCCCACTGCCTCCCTCCCCTGCTCTGTCACCCTCTTCTTCCCCCCCCTCTCTCGCATCTCCCGTTTCTTGTTCCCCCATCTTCATTTGGTCGCATCTCCTGCTCTTAATCCATTGTGCTTAGTCATCCTGCCCCTCATCGTCGCCTCTTCTCCTATACGTCTTCCTTGTGCTCATTCAGCGTCCCTCTTTCCTCCCTTCCTCCTCCTTACTTATTCCGTTCCTCTTTTCCTCCCCACTAACGAATGACGATGATGGTGATGATGATGATGACGATGATGATGATGATGGTGCTGATGATGATGATGATGATGATGATGATGACGACGACGACGAGGAAGGATGTAGGTGGGCTTCCTCCTCTTTCTCCTCCTCCGCTCCTCCTCCGTCCCTCCACCTCCTCCTCCTCCGCCTCCTCCTCCTCCTCCATCCTTCTTCCTCTTCTTCCTCCCCCTTCTTCCTCCTGCTTCTCCTGTCCTCCATCCTACCCCATCCCCTCCGACAGAGGAGGCGTTATCTTCTAATCTCTAACCGCCCTCCTCCTTCTCTTCCACCCTTCGTCCCTGCAGATGATGACTCATCTTCCCAGCGCCACCTGACGTGACAGAAGGGTGGTCTTGACATCCGGTTGTGACACGGTGCCCAGTTAATGCACCTGTGAAGGGCATCTTGCTCTCAATAGTTGCATGCCTCATTTTTTCGGTGGACGCCAACTGACCATCTCACCGACCTTGGCTGGGCCCATCCTTAACCCAGGTTAGGAGTCCACGCTGCCCTGGCCAAGCCAGATGGGCGCAGAAGAGAAGGGGTCTCAGCTAAAGAGTCGGCGGAACATTGGAGGGCCCAGCAGCGAACTGATGTTCACCTCGCCTTTGAAACATATTCCTGGCTGGCCCTGCTCGTGACACGGCACGACGTTCCCGTGCCCACAGGGGCCACGCGTGGAGTTCATGTTTTCAAATTCGCAAGGGCGGAGCGCACGCGTTCGCATGAAACACATAACCGACACGCTGGCAAGCGTTCAGACCTGTGTGTGTTGCCGAACCTGGCGGTTTTAGCTTGAGACGCCCTCCAGTAATATGGCAATGTCGCTAAACTTTTGCGACACATACACGGGCGGCTTAGTGGGCCCCGGCAACGGCAGGGCCGGTTTTTTCACCGTTTCCAAAAAAGTGTCCCGTGAAAATGGAGACGGCAAAAAAACGGCGACCGGAAACGGCAACAAAAACGGCTCCAGGATTGGAACCGGAGCCGGAACCGGTCAAACAACGGCGACGGAACCGGTAAAACAACGGCGTCGGAACCGGCAAACAAACGGCAAAACAAAACCGGTAACAAAAACGGCCTTGTCGTTTCCAGGGCCCACTGAGCACGGGCGCTCATTGTTTTTAAAAAATGTGTCTCGGTTGGTGCCCCCTTTCACGTTCTAGTTATGGACAGGAGCTTAAGATTGCGCAGCTGCTGCAAGGATCGATGGCTGATCTCGTTTGCAGCGGGTTTATCGTTGGAAATGCCCTAAGTCTTGGCATTCCTTGTTCTTGTAGTTCCGTAGATGGATGGAGGGCGGTTGGTTTTCGACGGGACCTCTCAGTTAAATGACAGGGCGCGCTCGTCTTTCAAGGGCGTGCTTCCCGTAGGGGAGAGCAATTGTTGTGGGGATTTATGGGAAGGGGGCTTGGGACGATGTGTTAGTTTACAACACCGTTGATGCATGCTGGGTATTCTATGTTCCTGCCCTTGCAACTCCGCCTTCCGTTCCTCTCTCCCGCCTCCTCCTCTTCCTCCTCCCTTTCTGCCCTCCCCCCCCCCCCCATTCTGACTCGGACATTACACCCGCCGACAATTCCCCCGCTCCCGTTCCCCTCCCTCGCCCCCTCTCCCTCCGCCCTGTCCCCAGACATGCGATGCTTTGTTTGTTCACTAAGCGTCCCCTGGAAGTCACGACCCATTCCCTCAGGACTTGTTGTTTTCATCCTGAGGCGTTTCTGAGCGGTCCTGTGGCAGGCCCGGCGAGCTCCCAGATGCCGAAAAAGCGGCAAGCTGATTTCCCACTCCGAGGCGCGAGCATGTCCGGGCAC